TTTTTGAGACTTTTATACAAATTTTCAAATTGTCCTCCAGAAAAAAATTAACATACTCAGCAGAGTGTAAATTTCCTCACCCGTCACCAATAATGGTTATTTGTTTTAAATCTTTGTCTCTCTGATACTGGGAGAATTGTGTTTCATAGTTTTATAAGATTAAATTCATTTTCCCAAACAGCTATTAGACATTTATATTTCTTAATTATTGAGTTGTCTGTTCTCTTTATTTATTTGTGGGGGTGTATCGATTTTTGTTAAGGATACATTCTTTTTATATATTAAGGATGTTAACTTTTTGTCACATATAGTGCAAATGTTTTCCCTCAGGAATTTTATGTACAGATAACTTGGTTTTTTTATATGTGAAAATCCAAAGAACATTCTTTAATAAAAAGGGGCTCAGAAGATGTATAATCTAAACTTGTAAAAACAATTGAAGTTTTTCAGTCAAGTGAGAAAGGAAGCAAAATTAAGAGCTCACAGAGAGGTCGATGTTAATAAGGGATCATTTTTAAAACTAGCATTTGGCAGACCTTGGGTTCACCTCAAGAAATGCTGTATGTTCATATGAACTATGGACCACTTCTGCTTTTCATCAGTAAAAGTGTCTTATGTTTTTAAGATATTTTTTCTTTATAAATGATTTCATAGAAAACCAAATTCTCAACTTCAGAAATTTGACCTATGCCCCATTACCTTCCCAAAAGATATATTTTTAAAACAATTATAATTAATCAGACATGAAACTGTCAAGGGAAAGAGAATTTGTAACAAAGTCTTTTGCTATTTTTTAATGGCTGTCAAAAAGAAAATAGAATCTCTAGAAATTAATTCAAAAATTTCCCTCCAAATTTAAAGATACCTCACTTAAATTGTATTATGAGTCTAATGCTTCAAAACTGTCTGGTACTTGGTGTGATTTTAAATTACTTAATTTGAAAAGGAATTTATTGTAAGAAAATGATCTTCAGTAGAGACAAGGCCTTTTCCCCCCCTTCTTTTTTTGGCTTAGGAGAAGAAGATGAGAAGTGCTATTTTGGGGACAAGATTCCCAACAGAAGGGAATCCTTTGGCAGCAATGTACAAACAGCTTTGGTGGAAAGCCACTCTCCAAAGGAAAAGGACTTCAGCTGGTTTTAAACTAGGGAATAGTAATGATCTCCAAGGCAAAGAGGATAACCCTGATGCAAGGGGTGGACCAATAAGGATTGTTTGGGTGGAAACACTGCATTACAAAAGCTCTCTCTTTTTTTTTTTTTTTTTTGAGACAGAGTCTTGCTCTGTTGCCCAGGCTAGAGTGAGTGCCGTGGCATCAACCTAGCTCACAGCAACTTCAAACTCCTGGGCTCAAGAGATCCTCCTGCCTCAGCCTCCCGAGTAGTGGGACTATAGGTACGAGCCACCACGCCTGGCTAATTTTTTATTTCTATTTTTAGTTGACTGGCTAATTTTTTTTTTTTTTCTATTTTTAGTAGAGACGAGGTCTCGCTCTTGCTGGTCTTGAACTCCTGACCTCAAGCGATCCTCCTGCCTCAGCCTCCCAGAGTGCTAGGATTACAGGCGTGAGCCACTGCGCCCGGCCTGCCTCATTAGAAATTGATGAGTTTTGGGATGCAACACTTTCCCAGTTCTCTGTGGAGTTTCAATTACTTTTCCAAGGAAGTGATATTTTACTCAGGGCCACCACGTTCCCTTTAGACTTCCAAAAATAATAGTAATAATAATTTTAAAAGGACTGGGTGTGGTGGCTCACACCTGTAATCCTAGCACTTTGAGGGCTGAGGCTGGAGGGTCTTGAACTCCTGACCTCAAGCGATCCTCCTGCCTCGGCCTCCCAGAGTGCTAGGATTACAGGCGTGAGCCACTGCGCCCGGCCTGCCTCATTAGAAATTGATGAGTTTTGGGATGCAACCCTTTCCCAGTTCTCTATGGAGTTTCAATTACTTTTCCAAGGAAGTGATTATATTTTACTCAGGGCCACCACGTTCCCTTTAGACTTCCAAAAATAATGGTAATAATAATTTTAAAAGGACTGGGTGTGGTGGCTCACACCTGTAATCCTAGCACTTTGAGGGCTGAGGCTGGAGGATCCCTTGAGCCCAGGAATTTGAAACCAGCCTGGGCAACAGTGAAACGCAGTCTCTACAAAAAATAAAAAATTAGCCAGGAGTGGTGGCACGCACCTGTAGTCCCAGCTACTCCGGAGGCTGAGACAGGTGGATCGCTTGAGCCCAGGAGTGGGAGTTTGCGGTGAGCTATGATGCCACTGCACTCCAGCCTGGGCAACATAGCGAGACCCTGTCTTAAAAAAGAAAATGATAAATAAAATATAAATACTACAAACCTAGTTTGTTTCCTGACATTTTCCCTTTATTTTCCAGAAAATAAATCACACGTCTACAAAAGTGGACTCATGCTTAATTTGAGGGAGATTCTCATCTTTAATTTTAAAATGCTTTGGAATCTTTTTGTGATGCTGTATATATGGAAAATACTCTTTGCTCATTATATTTCTGGGGTGGGTATGGATATGTGCATATGCACACTCGTACATTTAGTGTACATTTTCAAACTGACATCTTCGGTTGAGGGAAGTGCTACCTATTTGAATAAATTACTTGGAAAGACGGATGACAAGCCAGCCACCCCATTCCTGTGTGATTACATGTGCAATTATGTGTGACACTGCTGATTTGGTGTGGTTGGATGCGATGTACATGAGGCTTAGAGAGGTGGCCAGAAAGCTCAATCATTTGAGTATCCTTTTCCCTTTGATTTCAAATGACCGGCAGTGGGAACAGTGGGTGGGTTGGTGGCAGAGGTCCCATATACCTTCTTCCAGAGACTAGAGAATGGAAGAGCTACTCCAAAGAGTTTCTTGCCTCACTCGTTCAATCAACAAAGCTTTACTGAGTACCTACACAATGCCACACATTTGTTGTCTGTGCTGTCTCCTTGCCAAAGACCTCATTTTCCCCTCCCTTCCCACAGTCCCAGGGTCCTTATGCTACTGAAAAGGGTTGGATCTTTCCTCATCAAAACTCAAGTCTTATATCTCCTTCCTTGAAGGCTCTGCTAGAGTGGAATTTTGTTTTTAATAACCTTTTTATCATAAAATAAACTTTAAGACAGAGAAGTATTTTGGAGAAAAAAAGATACTATCATGAGCATATTCACATGACAGTGCATACTTGTAAACATTTTAATGCCTGGATATTATTCCACTGTGTGCTTCAATTTCTTAACGCTCATCTGTTAGATATTTAAAATCTTTCCTTTTATTTTCTGCATGTTATAAATAATGCTAAAATGGACATCTCTGCTTTTCAAACTTGGTTCACAATTTTATTTCCTTAGGGTAGGATTACTAAGTGATTGTTTATGAAACATTTTAAGACCCTTAATATAAATTGCCAAATCTCATTTCAGAGCATTTTTTGCAACTTACAGTCTCCTTAAGGTCACATTGAGTGTGCCTATCCTGGCACCCTTACCCTGATTGAGTACTAAGATCTTTTAAAATCTTTACTGATTTTTTTGTTTAATTTTCATTTGTATTACTAGTGAGATTGGATATTTTTCACATGCTTATTAGACATTTTTAGTTTGATGAGTTGTCTGTTTATTTCCTTTGCTCATATTTTTATGGGAGCTTTTGGGTTTTTCTTATTCACTTATTACATATTAAGGATGTCGGCCTCTTGCCTTTAATATTTATTAATCATATTTGGGCTAAAATACCTCCAAGATGTTATTACAATCAAGATAATTTGGTTCTTTTGATGAGATCAGCTTATATCATTTTATGTAGGAGGCAATTTTTAATGTTTAAAAATTAAGAGTATATACCTTAGAGCCAAGTACAGAAAACATCTATTCCATAAACTTCTATAAAATAAAGGTAGAATATACAGAGTTAAATTGCAAGGGACCTTGGTATTGCCAATCAGTGCTTCTGTATCGATGCAGCCATTGTATTCTTACTGTACTTAATGCATAATGAGCTACCTCTGGTGTGTTCATTACAAAAATATGAGATCTGTGCCCAGACTAAGCACTTGAGACAGGCAATGAGCTGCTTTGGAATTTACTGGAGTCCAGATAAAATTCTAGTAATCCCTCATTCCCATATTTCAGTTTCCGTTACATCTAGCACCCCTGAACGGCAGCCCCTCATGTGTTCTCCTTTTCCTTTTAGACAATTCTTCTTCGCTCCAGGAAGATGAAGAGGTAGAGATGGAGGCCATCGGCTGGCAGGCCAGCAGTCCAGCCATGAACGGGCACCCTGCCCCTCCGGTGACCTCTGCTCGTTTCCCCAGCTGGGTCACTTTTGATGACAATGAAGTCAGCTGCCCTTTGCCACCAGTCACCTCCCCTCTGAAGCCGAACACACCACCTGGTGCGTCTGTGATCCCAGATGCACCGTATGACTCAACAGGGTCATTTAAGAAGAGGGACCGTCCCAAGAGCACTTTGATGAATGTCTCCAAAGTTCAGAAGCTGGACATTTCCTCCTTAAACCGTCCACCTTCTGTAACCGAGGCTCCTCCCTGGAGGGCAACCAACCCTTTCCTGAATGAGACTCTGCAGGATGTACAGCCCTCCCCTATCAACCCTTTCAGTGCTTTCTTTGAGGAGCAGGAGAGGCGCTCCCAAAACAGTGCCATTTCTAGTACCACAGGCAAAAGCCAAAGAGATTCCCTCATTGTCATCTACCAGGATGCCATCAGTTTTGATGACTCAAGCAAAAGCCAGTCACACTCTGATGCTGTTGAAAAACTCAAACAACTCCAAATTGATGATCCTGATCACTTTGGCAGTGCGACGCTACCTGACGATGACCCGGTAGCCTGGGTTGAACTAGATGCTCACCCGCCTGGGTCAGCACCATGCCAGCCCAGGGATGGGTGGCCAATGATGCTGAGGATCCCTGAGAAGAAAAACATCATGTCCTCCAGGCACTGGGGGCCGATCTTCATCAAACTGACAGACAGTGGCTACCTGCAGCTGTATTATGAGCAGGGCCTAGAAAAACCATTCCGTGAGTTCAAGCTGGAGATCTGCCATGAGATTTCAGAACCCCGGCTTCAGAACTATGATGAGAATGGCAGGATCCACAGCTTGCGGATAGACCGTGTCACCTACAAGGAGAAGAAGAAATACCAGCCCAAACCTGCTGTGGCCCACACAGCAGAGAGGGAACAAGTGATCAAGCTGGGCACCACCAATTACGATGACTTCCTGAGCTTCATCCATGCAGTTCAGGACCATCTCATGGCTCTCCCAGTGTTGTCCATGGACTTGAGTACAGTTGGCTTGAACTACCTTGAAGAGGAGATCACAGTGGATGTCAGAGATGAATTCTCTGGTATTGTGAGAAAAGGAGACAACCAGATTCTCCAGCACCACGTCTTGACGCGGATCCACATTCTGAGTTTCCTTTCAGGGCTCGCAGAGTGCCGCTTGGGCCTCAATGACGTCCTCGTCAAAGGGAACGAAATAGTTTCACGGCAGGACATCATGCCCACCACCACCACGAAGTGGATCAAGCTCCATGAGTGCCGCTTTCATGGGTGTGTGGACGAGGATGTGTTCAACAACTCACGGGTTATTCTGTTCAACCCTTTGGACGCCTGTCGCTTTGAGCTAATGCGGTTCAGGACAGTGTTTGCTGAGAAGACCTTGCCTTTCACGCTCAGGACGGCAGCCAGTATCAACGGGGCGGAGGTGGAGGTGCAGAGCTGGCTGAGGATGTCAACTGGCTTCTCCTCTAATCGCGACCCCCTCACTCAGGTTCCCTGTGAGAATGTGATGGTCCGTTACCCTGTGCCCAGCGAGTGGGTGAAAAACTTCCGCAGGGAAAGTGTCCTGGGGGAAAAGTCTTTAAAAGCCAAAGTGAACCGGGGGGCGAGTTTTGGCTCCAGTAGTGTCTCTGGCTCTGAGCCTGTCATGAGGGTCACGCTGGGAACGGCCAAGTACGAGCATGCCTTCAACTCCATTGTGTGGAGGATAAACCGGCTGCCCGATAAAAACTCAGGTGGGTAGTGGTTTCTCTTCTGTGAAAACAACTGCGTGGATACAAATAAAAATAGAAAAAATTAGCCAGGCGTGGTGGCACGAGCCTGCAGTCCTAGCTACTCAAGAGGCTGAGGCAGGAGGATCGCTTGAGCCCAGGAGTTTGAGGTTGCTGTGAGCTAGGCTGACGCCACGGCACTCACTCTAGCCTGGGCAACAGAGCGAGACTCTGTCTCAAAAAAAAAAAAAAAAAATCAAACAGCTGGGATCAAGGTTCCACATCTTAGGTGAAGTGCTTGTTTTTCTTGTGTGAAGGGCATAGTGACAGAGGGAGCATGGGACCAGGAAAGTAAAAACAGTAGAGCAAAGTAAGTAATGAGCATAGTGGCCCGATTCACTCTATCTTTTCACCCCCTCATTGGCACACACTTTCCATAAAACTATGTATTATTATTCTCAGCTGAGCTGCTAAACAGCTCTCTAGGGCAGATTCTGAACTTTTTTCCCCCTTTTGAGACAGAGTTTCGCTCTGTCACCCAGGCTGGAATGCAGTGGCGCAATCATAGCTCACTGCAGCCTTGAACTCCTGGGCTCAAGCGATCCTCCCACCTCAGCCTCCCAAGTAGCTAGGACTACAGGCACATGCCACCACGTCCAGCTAATTTATTTTTTTATTTTCTTGTAGAGATGGGGATCTCACTATGTTGCCCAAGCTGGTCTTGAACGTCTGGGCTCAAGTAATCTTCCTGCCCCACCCAGCCTTCCAAAGTGCTGGGATTGCAGGTGTGAGCCACCACTCTTGGCCAGATTCTGAATTTTTATTCTTTTGGGACTCATTAAAGTATTAGCTATGGTGCTGGAAGTGATCCATTTCCAGATTCTGGAAGGCTTCTGGGTCCTGAAGAGGCATCTTTCTCACTCTCCCTCGATGTAGGAAAAAGGGCCAGTTTATGGTCAATCGTATGTACAGTACATGGAGGAGTTAATTTTATGACCCTAGCTACTACTGCGAGGGCTGTCCGTTCAAACATCTCAAGCTCAGAGATAGGGGATGGGAAAGAGAAACGGCCTCCAATCAGTCTGAAGATCCAGCCAGGATATGGAAGTCTAAAAGTGCCAAAATTCTATCAGACAAAAAGTAAAGGAAGGAATGTTTGATTTAAACCAAAGAAAAGAAAGAGAGAGAGAGAAAGAGAGAAAAAAAGAGAAAGAGAGAGAAAGAAAGAAAGAAAAGAAAGGAAAGGAAAGGAAAAAGGAAAAGAAAAGAAAAGAAAAGCTTACCTGCCCTAGACAGCTATCAGGGATGCTTTTGTGCTTGAATGAGCCCAGAAGGCAATTACTTTCCTCCGGAGTCTGGTGGGATTTTGCGAAATGACAAGACTAGGGAGCTGTCAAACCAGCACTAATACCCTTATTTCTCAGAGCAAGTGTGGGTGACCCCAACGGCAGGCAACAAGCCCATGTTCCTGTGAGCCTTTAAGTCCTTTCTCTTGTTTATAATAAATTCTGCTCTTCTGTTGACAAAAGCGGATATGCTAGCTGAGCAAAAAGAATAAGGTTTGGAAAAGCTCTTGAGTGAAATGTCTTTCTCTTACGCAGCTATCCTTTTTTCCATTCTGACCATTAAATTCCAACAGTGTGTTCCGCGTCTGCCTCTCCTGCTCCGAGTGTGGAGTGGTGGTGTTATCATATCCTGAAGGTAATACGATGTGATGGCCAGAGGCAACACGATCGGGCCGGCTCCCCGGGCAGTGCAGGGAGTGGACACGCACCAGGGCGTTCTGTGTCAGACGCTGGGTGTAGCAGTGCAAGCTGAAGAGACAATCGGACCTCTGTGTTAGAGGCTGCCTTTGCTACCCCCTATTTCTAAACTGACAGAATTTTTAAAACAAAGTCTTCCTCTCTCTGCTTGCTTGTTCGTTTCCCCTGAGGTCAGCACTGTATTCTCCTGGCCATAGCACTGTGATCTCTACCTCAGCCAGGGGCCCCATCTGACTTGAAAGAGGAAGGGAGACACCCTGGATTGTCCTTGGGCATAGAGGCCCTTGGAAAGGGAGAACCGCGGAATTTCTGGATTTTCAAGACAGAAGGGACCTTGGAGAGAACTTAGTCAAACCTGTTCAATCTACAGATGAGAAAATTAAAGCCCGGGAGGTGACAGGACTCATCTGAAGTTCCACAGCCACATTCAGGGGCTTTTTCCCAATACCGCAGCTGCCTCTTAGTAGGGGAAACTAAATAGACACAAACTTGAAATAATTCCCACTGTGAGAGTAGAGATGTATAGTTTATCCGGTATGTACAAACATATCTCACTTGTTTCAAAGTGATTGCTCTCAAATATTTAAAAGTACTGTATGAGAGATTTTTTATTAAAAGCAGCAAAGACTGAGTGACTACTTTAAGCAAAAAAAAGACGCCAAAAAATAAAAAAACACAGATCGTTGGTTGGATGGATATGGGTTATGGATATGGGGTAGCTCAGAGAACTGAAGGAAAAGTTGAACAGAGACTTCAGAAAGGATCACACCAGAATAGCTCTGGTAACAGAAACTCACGAATGTCTCCTCATCATGCAGTTGTGGGGACAAATCACCACATATTATTTTCTTTCCTTGTGCCACTTGGCTCAAGGGGAGTCAAGGGGAGGGCAGTGCATTTTGAATGACAGGACCACCAAGACGACATGCAGCACTGGGGAAGATTATTTCCCAAAAGAAGAGAAAGGGAAAGATTGCTACCAGAAGAAATGGGGGACACAGGACAAGCCTTCAGAAAATACTTTTTTCTTAATGCTTCCCAGTGGAGAGTGTTCAATAGGCTCAAGGCCCAATAAATGTAATTTATATACTGTATTGCATATATATTTCCAGGTTACTGGAACCCTGTTTGTGGAAGATTTTTGAAATACAGGACAACATAAGGATATTTGAGGATATTTCTTACCTAAACATCCAACTTCTATTACTGCTTTTGCTGTCATGGTTATATATTTTTAATAGTGAAACCCCAAAAAGAGGCTTCTTATACTTTTTCTGGCCAATTATATGTTTCTATACCCGTTAAGGAAATTGGTAGCACCTTTTTCTGGTGCTGATTATTCACCAGGAAATAAAACATTTTGTCCTGTATAGGTAGTTTTCTTTGCTGGAATTCTAGTTCTCATTAGACCAGGAGAAGAGAAAACAATCTCAATATGATTACCCTTTTATAGAAAGTAAAACTCTGAATTTTAATGTTGTATTTTCTCAACTGCATCTCAACTCAAGGAAGACAATGTAATGGTGGGCTTATTTACCATGAATTAAACTATGCCAGCTTTCAGCATTGCACTTCCTGTCTGCAGCCCCTACACATCTAATAGTTGATGCTAGGAAAGAATGCTGCTTTCAGAGTTTGCTGTGGATGCACTTTGATGGTGTGAGAGGAGGGAATCAGTTTTGTAGAAAGAAATGATTTTTTAATATTCTAACAATGTACAAATAAAGATAATTAGATAAAAAGAGTTGCTCAGGTTGCTCTTGAATTGAGAGATGGTCCTGTACACTTTGAAGTGATCTAATTCCATAGCAATATATTGAGCAGAATTTAGGACATATTAATAGTTTGAAGTCAGAGTCATATCTGAGTTTTATTTCCAGCTCTGCCACTTAAGGGCTGTGTGACCTCAGGCAATTTACTTAACGCTCTCAGAGAAATTTTTCTCATCTATAAAATAGGGTTATTAAGACCTAGCTCATTCAGAATGTAATGAGATAATGCTTTTAAGTGCTTAGCACAGTATCTGGCCTGTAATAAATGCCCAATAAATGATAGCTGTGTAATTATATCTGTGGTACACAATTAAAAAGTGAATGGATTCATTTTCAAATAATCTAGTTTTTACCATTATATATACCTTACTTAAATTTTTTTCCTAAAAACAAGTGCAAATTTTTCAATTATTGCTCTTTAGAAATAACCATTGAAATATGTTACATTTGTGAAACAGAGCAAAACAAATACTTCACTCTGGTAATGTTTTCCTTAGAGAGCGGGTGTGTTATGTGCTCACTCTCTGAGGATGAAAAGTCCTGTCCAGACCAAAAAAGAACGTTGAAATTGCTTCTTTGGGGAAACTGGGATAACTAAGGGGCTGTTTCAGTTACATAATTAAGGCAAAGTCATTTCAAGCTGTTTATTCATAGCCAGTTGCTATCTGGGGGTTCTTGCAACTTACTCCTTCTCCATCCCTGTCACCCTGCAAACGTGGTCTTGAGGTTTGGGGACCATGAGGCATCATGGCAAAGTGGTTAAGAACACTCTGGAGTCAGACTACTGGCTTCACTTCTTAGCTCTGCCACTTTCTAGTTGTGACCTGGGGCAGCTCACTTTGCCTCGCTAAGCCTTAGTTTCCTCATCTATAAAATGAGGATATTATTATGACCTCAAGGAATTGTAATGAAGATTCAGTGAGAGGATCTGTGTAAAAGACTTAGCAATTTAGCATAGTACCAGTCATCAGGCATCGGGTGCTTAACATGTTTCCTGTCATGTCACATGAATGATAGTGTTTCAGTGGCGACGGTCATAGAACTAAGCTCTAACTCTTTTTTCCTCAAAAATCTAATAACTCTCAAGTGAAAACCAAACCCTAAGTTTGCCATCCAAGTACAACAGAATTACCCGTAGATTTATAAAATTAAAGAGTAGCAGGGTCTGGCACCATCCAGCCTACCTTTTCCTACCTCTCCCCCCAGTGCCAAGCTCCCCACTTACAGGTGAGGAATTGAGGCCTGGAGAGAAGAAGGACTTGGACTTGGGGCTGGAGCTCTGCTGCTTAATAGGAGAACTGGAAGTCAGACCCAGGTGTTCTGCTAGTCGGAGGTCTGTCCAGTGTTCCATGTGCTTCCCCAACACGTGTGTGCTGTTTATAAGGTCTTTGTCATTTGCCTATATCATTAACCCACAAAACATGCCAAAAGCCTTTTGAAAATAGGAAATGCTATTAAGCAAATTCAGTTCATCTTTCAAAGGAAAGCAGTTTTGCTCCAGGTGGCTGCAATCGATGTTTTATTAGGTGCTAAGTGCCCATCCCTTTTTTGCATTCTTCCCATTTGCAGCCCCTGTTTCTTAGTACTGGAGCTGTGTTCACCTATCACTCTGGCCTGAGCAGGTGGAATGACCTGTTTCTCAGGCCTTGGGTTTTCTTGCTGGGATACCAGGCTGCTATAGTCACGTGGTGCTATGCCAAAGGGTCTGAGGCACACTGCAGATCCTCCTGCCCAGCACTGGATCCTCTGCAGGCCCCCTTTGTCATTGAGGCGGCCTCTTCCACTTCCTCGCTGCTGCCAAAGAACCTGATCTCTGAATTGTCTTTTTTTCGTAGCTTCTGGTCACCCCCACTGTTTCTTTTGCCACCTTGAACTTGGCTCTGACCGGGAAGTGCCTTCCAGATTTGCCAATCACGTGAATGTCGAGTTCAGCATGCCCACAACTTCTGCCTCCAAAGCCGCTGTCCGATCCATCTCCGTGGAAGACAAGACTGACGTCAGGAAGTGGGTCAATTATTCCGCACACTACAGCTACCAGGTAGCCTCGAGAGTGTCTGGCTGATGCTTCCAAGTCATTTGTTTGCCCCTCTTATTCCTTTCAGCAGTGCTTACCATGGTTGCAGGTATTCTCTTCCCACCTTAGAGGAGGTTCACCATGCCTGCGTGTGGATGAGCCTGCTCCGATTTGATTGAACAATCTCTATTGTGGCTAAGACAAAGGTTGAAAAAAAAAAATAAAGAGGAGAATATAATGTCTTTCTGTCATCATGAACAATAACAACAAAAAGAGAATGGGGTAAAAGGGTCATTATTAGCCATTTATGATAAAGTTTATATTGCAGAGGAGTGAACTTGGAAGTGGAGGGGAGCATTAGGAAAGTGTTAACCCAAAGCATACATTTCAGCTACAGGAGCTGATGAAGTGGATCTAAGCAAAGTTAGCACACTGTGACCTGGGCACTGGGCTGTTACAGGACAAGACTCAAAAGCCAAGCAAATTTTTGTAATAGGATCAGGGCTATGGAAGGAATAATCAGAGTTGGAGCTTTCTGACATAAATAGAAAGCAATAATGTCCTGAAGGGTTAGAAATTCGATAGAAGATTAAATGCCAAAGTTTTGAAAAGTAGGTTTATTGAAAAGGGATTTTGCAAAGTGTTTTAATAATTTTCTATTTGTAATAATGTCCTTAGATGTATATGGTGAGTTATCGTTCCTCTAAATGTTTCCTTAGTTGCGTGAGCTAAAACGTGTAACTACCAAAAGGAACGAGTACTCCATCTTGTGGCCAGGACAAAAATAGCACTTCTCTTAACCCTATTGTGTGTTTGTTGCCTTCTGAGTCCAGCATCATAAGTATCTGAAGTGGTGCTGAGAGGAGCAACCTCAATCATGAAATTACTGAGCTCAGAGGATTTCCTGGCTGACTTATCCAAGACCAGTTGAGATGTGTTACCTTCAAGGCAAGATTAATTGATTACACCTTTGTAATCACAGCTGCAGTATTTTGCAGAAGATATGGTAGAACTGTAAACACTCCAGTAATGTTTGGAGGTTTTTTAAAAGAGATAAAGTATTGGGGTGTAAACAGTCAATTACAAAGGAATTCATTCATTTGATAAACCTATGTCAATTACTTACTGTATTCCTACATTATTGCATAAAATATTGAACACGATCCTGTTCCTGTCCTGTGGAGCTTATGACGGTGTAGTGGAGCTGGACAAGTGTACAAGGTACAGTGGAAATATTCACAGGGAGAAGCACCTGAGTCTACTTAATGAGTTGAAAATAGCTTCAAAGAAGAGTTGACCTTTGAGCAACTGTGTAAGGCAAAGAATAAGAATTTTCCAGGTGGACCATGAGGGAGAGGGAATTCCAGACCAAGCGGAGAGCATGTGCAAAGAGAGAGTCACGATATACTTAGGGTCAGTAGCTCCGATGTGGCTAAAGCCCAAAGCATTAGCAAAACTACAAGGAATCTCAAAGAACCTACTGAGGTATTCTCTTTTGGTTTATTTATTTGTTTGCATGCTTTTCTCCTCTTTTTGATATTTACCTCCAACTTCTATTCTTGGCAGGTGGAAATTGAGCAAAAAAAAAGTTTGAAGCTGGACTTTGAAGGAGATGAAACGGAAAATCCCAAGGAGTGTGGGGTACAGTGACAAAACCCTACAGCGAGGAACCCTGACCCAAGAATCATGACAGGGTATCTTCTTGAATAGCTGAAGTTTAAGTCAATACCTGCTGTGGCCACTCCATGTTGGAAACAGTGTATCAGACCTTCCTGTTTGCAGTTACCTGCATTTTAACAGGAAACCCTGAAATGGTTGTTTTGGAGAGGCTCTTTGACTGTGATCACACCTGAAGCACATGGTTCACCTGACTTTTGGAGCTTATAGTATAATTAAGCCTCCCTGTCTCATCTCTGCTTATCTCACAGCACTGGTATGTGGTTTGTTGTGACAGAGTCAGGAAGAGAACCTCCCACATCAGTGTTGACATGGTTTCCTTCTGGTATTCATCTGTCACTCACACGAGTTTCTAGAAAAGGCAGTCCTGAGAACTTGAGTAAGAATCCATCTCTTTCACTCCCTCTAGAAAAAGTTCAGAAAAGGTGCAAAACAAATTTTCTCTTTGGGTCTACTAGACCAATATAGGTGTCTCCATTCTTTAGATGTTAACACTATGCAACAGAAGTTCTCAAGATGTTTTCCTCCTGGTTCTAGATTGTTTAGATTGGAACACTTTTTCCATCTCTCTAAGGTTTCAGTCCCAGGATTTGCTATCCGGAGTCATGATAGACAATGGAAAAAGACACAATAGGATACTTTTTTATTCTGTGAATGACCCATATTCAGCAAAAGGCCTGCTGTTAAGGGAAGGCAAAATTAAGCTTATTTTTCTTCATTCTGGGGAAAAGAGACATTAAATGTAAGATTATATTCAGTTCAGAAGACAGCTTCAATCTCAGTGAATTCCCAAATTCATACTGAAAAATCCAGGCCACTTCTGATTCCTGAAACAAATGAATATATGTATTATACCTCAGGCATTTGTAAGGGGCATTTGGGAGTTCTTTTTATACCTCATAGCCAATAGACAGTTCAGTTACATGTCTCTTCAACCCAAACTTTATATAGGAAATTTAAGCTGAAAAGATAATTTTAAAAGCTGTTTTAAAATTAAGCTTGAATGAGCTTTCCCCCAAAATTCAGAGTTTAATAATTGCAGTATCGTAATATATCAAAAAGGTCTCTAGGGTAGAGATGGGGAAAAGCCATATTTTTCTAACGTTGGGAACATTAAATACTAATTTCAAGGGTCAGAACACTCCTTTTCCTTCTTCTGTTCCTGGGACAATCTTCCTTTCCTTCATCTATTCCTGCTCTCTTCTGCCTCTTATTTGTACCTTGGTGTTTTCTCCCATGAAGAATAGAGTGAGGGGACAGAGAGCATACATTATCACATTTGTAGATGATGCAGAAATAGCAGTATCTCCAGTTTGGGGCTGATAGATTCAAGATTAATTTATTAAATGAACAATGATTGAATTCTAACTATGTACTGACGCTAGCATATAGAAACCATTACGATGTTTTGAAGTATCTGAACATAAGACTGAAACTGAAAGGATGAGATTGAATAGGCATTTACAAGAAACCCTATGTTCTGGGATTTAAAAGGCAACCCTTGTAAGTACAGAGTGGAGTGTGTGTTTGTGGATATATGTGTTTATGTGTGTGTTGCTGGGAAGGGTATTGGAAAGACCTGATTTCACAGCAGTTTATGTCGAAATGTTTTCTTAGGGAAATGGGAGTTCAATTTTAAATCAGCAGTATATTGTGACCATTCACAAAGCTAATGCATTCGACCTGTGTTAAAAGTTCAGGGAGCCCCACGTGCCATACAGGTCAGTCCATATCGAGATGGAGGCTTGGATTCAATTATCGGTACCACGTTTTAAGATCAACTAATAAATCAATCAATAAATTGATCGTGTCCACAGGTAGGCGACGAGGATTATGAAGAGTCTGATTATATAGAGAATAGGACAGTAGCTGCCGTGAAGAACAGAAGGTATAGCTGGGAAGGGGGAGCAGACAAGGAGGGAATGATATAATAGCTGCCTTGAAATTTCTTTTGAGCTATAAAACAGAAGAGGAATTAGACTTATTCTTTGTAGCTTCAAAAGGCAAAAAATGAACAAAGGAACTTTACAGATGACAGATGATTGCTTCAGTATAAGAAAAAATTTTCTAATAAGAGTTGTTCCAAAGAGGAATGGACTCAAGTAATAAAATTTCCTGTTGCTGCAAATGTCCAAGTTTAAAATAAACACCTATCACAGGTGCTATGAAAGGGACTCTTACATTGGATTTGATCT